GTTCAAAATACAGAGCTTCTGGCAGTTGTAAGGTCAAACCCTCCAGTATGCCTCCTGAAATCCTCTGACAGAGAAATAACAGTCAAAAACAAATGCTGGCATTGGATCTGAAATAATTTTTAAATCATGCTGAGTTTTTGCTGAACAGGTAAGCATGGATTATATCTGGACTGTTGCTGTACATTTACCCGTCTGTTCTGATTACCGTGGTAAAGTTGACACATAACACCTTAATGGTGGCAAACCACATTTAATAGAGAACTTGGGTTTTGTGTAGGTTGTTATTTTTTCTCTTATGTTCTGTAAATAAACTGTTGATGCGAGTACATGAAGGGAAGTGAAGAAAACCTTGTACAAACTTTGTATGTTTATGATGTGGTCTGATGGCAAAAGCCTCGATAATACCCACTAACAACTAGTCTGTGTGGTTTTTATTTATTTTCCAGAACTGTTAAATGAACATTGGGTTGCTCTATGAACAACACTGGTTATTCCACGTAAGTTGTTTTTGCCAGGGCAATTTCAGTCTGATATTCAGTTTGTTGTCTGTCCACCACTTTGGTCCAGACTGAAATGTCTGATTAATTATTGTTTTGCTGGCTATGAAATTTTGTATTCACATTCATGGTTCCTACAGATTGTTTCCTAATGCATGATCCCCTGCCTTGCCCTTCATCATCAGGATCACATTACTGGTTTTAGGTTAAATGTCTCAACACAACAATTGAATTGATTAACATCAGCATGATAGCATTGTCATTGTGCGCATGTTATCATTTAGTTCAAAGCTAAATGGACTCGAGTCATAAGTCACAAATTTGATGACTTTAGACTCAACTTTACAAAATCAAAAAAAAAAAAGAAAATTTAAAAAGTGTGGTTCAAATTAATCCACCTCCCTTCATCTACTGAATAATCTCATTGTTTGGTCCCACGTCTGCTAAATACAGCCTCACAGAGCTGCTGGTGTGGCTAAGAGACTAAGAGTATACCTTCGTATCTCTTTGTGTTTTGTTTGTTCTCCTGCTTTGAAGTGGATGTGATGGGATGAGAAAAGGTTATGTTTGTTACTTCTACACACAAATAAGTGTTTAACTATGAAAGAATCAGAATCTGACAGTTGGGTTGTTGTTGGGTTGACACCACCGTCAGTTAAATCTGATCAAACTACAAATGCATTTTCCTAATGAAGCCAATTATAAGCATTTGATTAGTTTTGAGTGGGGTTTTGCCTGATTGCTCCTTATTTAATTACAAATATTTCATGTTTTTTAAAAGTATTGAAACAAAGTTCAAGTTGATTAATAATAAATACCTCAGGAGTTTCACTTCCAGCTGTGCATCATCACTTATTTCTGTAAATCCTGACATAAATATTTTTTATTAACATGGGCTGTCAGTGTTGAACTATTAGCAAGCATTTTCATGTGATAAACAGGTCTAATTCATCTCATTATCTTTTCACAGCAGAAGAGTAATGTTCACTTTATTCCTGGTCACAAACACTAATCTATGTTTCATGGTGCATACTTCCCAAAAAGTTATGAAACTCATTTCTAATCACCGGAGACAGGCGTCTATGAGCTATATTTAAACCACAGGACTGCGCAAACGATATCGTGGTTCATTGGACGTTTTTAAGGGAGTATATTGCACTTCTAAAATATATAAAAATGTGTGAAATATATTCGCTCATCTTCATAGCTGTCACTCAAAGACATTATCCTGTGAGCAACCAGCAGCCTCTCATTATGCAAAATCAAACAAGACAGTGGAATTGAGTTTGGTGTCCCAGAGTAACATAAGCAAATACAGCCTGACAACTCATATTGGAGAAGACTTAGAAGTCTGCCTATGCCTGGATATCAGGACAACGAAGACAACGGTTGGGGCAACTACCGGCACAAGATACCTTGTCTGCAGAACAAACAACTTTCTAAACCTCAAATCCACCAAATCTGAAGGAATACAAGAAAGTGCTTTAGTGTGATCCTTAACGAAGATGTCCATCTGTGTGTATCTCTGTGTGTGTTTTGTGCATCCTCAAATCTTCCACGCAGCAGAAGTAAGGAAGTCACATCTTGCATAAAATCATACAGCAGCTGGTGTCTGTAGAAAAAAAAGTAACATTTTAATGTGCATTTGAAAAAATATACTGTTTTAATTTGCAGGACTCAGTTATTTTCAAAGCAAATTAAAAAAAATGATAAAAGATACGCAATGTCTGCACGCAGGTCATACAAGCTATGATGACGGATGACACATGTTCTCAGGCTCTGCGACTGTCAGACATGAGTGAGTACGGTTGAAAGGTGGTGCAACAGTGCCCTCCTATGGAGCCCCTCTGCTGTGCACCTCAAGTACAACACACTAAATCTGCTTTCTCCACTGACCGGAACCCTGCCAAGTTTAATGATGGATCACAGACAATTCCTGAACAGTCCCAGAAGAATGAGATTTTGATATCTGCTTGGACACTAACAAAAACAATGTTGAGATGTAGAAGAAGAAGGACATATATTATAAGGAACTCGATTTTTTGCCAATGTATTCTGCACTCCCTCGTTGCACGTAACAATCAAAAGGCCTTCCGTGCAGTAGATCACTTTAAAATATCCCGTATCCATAAAATGTCACTCCAGCAAGTGAATAATGACAGCAGAATTTTGTAACTATTGTACCATGAACAGCTTCATCCACTCAATCACAGAACTCATAAATATTATTTTTATTGCCTACAATAGGCTTTTTTGTGAACATTATAAGACAAAAGACCCAATGATTTAGGCTGGATTTGTCATCGAGGAATAAAGTCAAGAGGCCTGGAATGAATTTATAGTGATGAAAGTGCACATACTGTATAAGGGATGAAGATGAAATATAGTAAGGAAGAATAACTGTTGCTGTAAGTCCACAACACGTTGTTCTTAATGTTAGTGAAGCAGTTTGAGATTTTACCACATGACAGATCTGCATATTTGTTTTGTGGTTTTTTGATCATGAGGAGTCTTGTCTTTAAACCTCATACATACTGGGGTAATCTTAACCCTACAGTAATGTGGTACACTTCCATTAAAATCAGATATTCTTCTTATTTCTTTCATGTTTTCCTCAGTCTGTGCAGTAGCCAAGGTCAATATGAATTTCAGACTTACTTTTTATTCTGTTGATTTAAAAGTTTCATCAATAAATAAAATGATGTAGCATGAGACCACAAGTGCGGTAACTGCATCTCTAAAACTAATCAAAATAATAATAAACAAGAAATAATAGCTAGCTTAAATGATATAACATCACTAAACTTACACTCAACTCTTTAATTCTGTCAATCAATCAATGCCTTTTAGTATTTATTAGGATTTAAGAGTGGATTGTAATTACATCTGAACAAACTCCTAATTATTTGATACTGAAGACTTGTCTTCATCTTTCTCCCTCTGCAGTGATACTGAATAAGCATCTTAAGTATAATAAGTACATAACATTCAAATAAGAAAAATTCAGTTTTTAGAGGAGTAAGTGTGTTTGAAGACTTGCATTTTGGCAAAGACCTGATAGGCTTTTATAACACAACATTCCTCCTTTTCTGGGAGGACATTTGTGATACAATCATTTTGAAGAGCATGCACAAAAGCACTGTTGATCATCAGATGATGGTTTTAGGAATAGAAAGCAATTTTAATCAGAATACTCAAGAGACTGAAGAATGAAGGGTACTTTATCATGTTTTATGAACCATAGAAGCACCCAAGAGGGTGCGTTTCTTAGTTTTTTTTGCCTATGCTTGAGTATCAAGACAACAACAACAAACATGGGCCACTAGTATAGGCACATATTTGTAATATATCAGCATTTACAAGGGTGTACATGCTTTCTAATTTCTCCCTTTCTAAAAGAACAATTTGGAGTAAAATATCTGGAAAAAAAGTTAACTTTGGATTTTTAGTCTATTTACCAAGAAATCACAAATGTACTAGTTTCAGTAAGCAAGGGACAATCAAAACATCTTAGATGTATCTTTTAAAATCTCCTAGCTTTAAAAAGTAATAATCATAAATTTGAAAACTAGAAAATGGGAATATTTGAAAATCTGGAAAATTGCTAAAGGAATTGGTCAGATTTTAACTTGTAGTGAGACTCCTGTGGATAAAGGTTTCCCACCAAGCTGCCAGATTGTGGGACAGTAGTGAAAAGCAGGAAATGGATCAGTGAACAAAATTTTACATTTTAAATCAAAACACAGCTCTCAAAGTGTGAACCAACCCCCGCAGCACACATCCTCTGTAGCATATTTTTGCAACTTGCTTCCACTCTGAGAACTTTTTGCTGCTGTCTCGTAGTACTGACTGAGTTAATGTCTATGTATCAACATCACTTCAGTCAAGACCACTTTTGTCAAAATAACTTTTATTCCAAAGCAGAATGTTACATTTGGCGGTATGGCTCTGTTCTGGGACCTCCTTGCCCTTCCACGTGCCTACGTGGAAAACCTTAAGGCAGGGAGAGCACACCTCCCTGCCCTTCC